CACCCTCCCGTAGAGAAGCGTTTATAATTCCCTGGAGCCAGGCTCGTGTACCCTCCCGGGCAGCCAATACCAGCCAGGAGGGGCACAGATCCAGTAAACATGTGGTTGCATTCAGCCTCCCCAGGATCCTGTCCACGTCCTCGGGAGCCACAGAGTCAAACTCCTCCCATATAACAGTCTCAAGACCTGCTCCCGTCTCCTCCCCCGGGGCCACCCAGTCAGAGTCCAAGCCTTCTCGGATCCGAGCGACTTTGTCATACAGATATTGGGCAAAGTCCTCAGCCCTCCCCTCCAGGGGATCCTCCCCCCCCTCAACTGAAGGAGAGAGCGGGTCACCCTGAAGAGGGTGGCCGGGCGATTATCTGATGACGCAATGAGGGTGGAGTAGTAATTAGACCTTGCCACCCTCATCGCCACTAGGTAGGATCTAACATGCATCCTTACCTGTGCTCGGTCGGATTCGGTTCGGGTAGTCCTCCAACTGCTCTCTAGGCGTCTTTTCCGGCGCTTCATCTCTCTCAGCTCCTCGGTAAACCAGGGAGCCAGTTGAGATCTGCGCCGGGTCAGAGGCCGCAAAGGCACGACTCGGTTCAGTGCTGCGGCAGCGGCCACATCCCAGGCCGCCGCCAGATTTTCAGCCGAGTCGTGAACTAGGTCCTCCGTATATGGCCCAAGCTCCGTCAGGAACCTCTCCGGGTCCATCAGGCGCCTGGGACGGAACCATTTAAGTGGTTCCGTCTCCCTGCGGCGGGGGGGAGCGGTCCGGAAGTCCATCCTAAGGAGTGAATGATCTGACCATGACAGGGGCTCTATAACCACCTCCCCCATTTCCAGATCATTCTGCCACTGGCCAGAGACAAAAATTAGATCCAGTGTGTGTCCTCCCGTGTGGGTGGGGGCATGAACTAATTGGGTCAAGTCCAAGGCCGTCATGGAAGCCAGGAACTCCTGAGCTGCCGCCGACGTTTCGCCCGCCGATGGCAGATTGAAATCCCCCATGACTATAAGTCTGGGGGTCTCAACTGCCACCCCGGCTATTACGTCAGCCAGCTCAGGCAGGGCCGTTGATACATAGCAGGGAGCCAGGTATATAATCAACAGACCCACTTGTACCCCTTGCCCCCGGTTCACAAGGAGGGACTCTCCACCGTCTATCTGAGGCACAGTGGTCTCCCTCGGGCATAGGCTCTCCCTTATAATGACCGCTACCCCACCGCCCCTACCCCGGGTCCTCGGCTGATGGAATACCTGGAAACCCGGCGGGCAGATATCAACGAGGGGCACTCCCCCTTCCACGCCCAGCCAGGTCTCGGTGATACCTGCCAAGTCCGCACCCCCCTCTTGAATAAGATCTTGAATGAGGGGGGCCTTGTTTACCACGGACCTGGCGTTGCATAACATCAGCCGGTGATCCCGGGCCCGAGGATCTAAGATCCCTGGAGGCCGGGTAGAGCCCTGAGGACCGGAGCACCCACAAGCTTGTAAGCAGCGTGTGCGTGCTCCCAAAACCCGATATGGTCCTCTGCTCCCACCATATCTGCCCCTCCCACTGACCGTACTAACCTTCTAACAAGCAAAGTCAATGGGGAAGCCACACTCACTTTAAAATCTGTTATTAACTTAACGACTGCAGTGATTAACAATGGCAAGAAAGGTCGTAAAATGGGGCAAAACTCACCTAACAAATGTCTCACTTAGCCAAAAAAAAATTGGGCTCAATTGTGGATGTAAGTTGAGGACTGCCTGTATAAAAAATAACCTTTCTCTAAACCAGGGGTAGGCAACCTTGGCTCTTTTATGACTCGTGGACTTCAACTCCCAGAATTTCTGAGCCATCATGGCTCAGCTTGGAAACTCTCCCTTTCCCCTCAGCGTGGCTGGCTCGGGAATTCTGGGAGTTGAAGTCCACCAGTCATAAAAGAGCCAAGGTTGCCTACCCCTGCCCTAAACTATCATCAATCAGCTGTTCTTGTGGCTCTCCAACAGTATTAAATTGTTCATGGCAGATTCTTTTTCATCCTTTTATACTGAAAATAAATGAAAGTTAAATTAAAAAAATAAAACCCTTTTCTGGGTCTAGTTCTTGGAGGTGCTGCTCTTATGTTTATCCCTTCAGACTGGGGAATCAGGGGCTGTCACTCTGCTTAGAAAGCCAGCTTTGTTTGTTTGCTCAGGTGCCCAGCCCATCTCCAGACTAACCAGGGCTGAAGCATCTGGCTGAACCCACACCTTACTTTGTTTAGTTGGGGGGCCACCAGTCTTATTCACAGGCCAGAGCAAAATGGGGTAGAAGGATCAGGCCTTCTCTTTGGTTTATGGCTCTACGGGACAGAATTCAGGGGTCTTCTAAAGCCTTTTCCAACTAGCAAACTTTATGAAAAGGCACACATGCTTTTGGGTGAGCCTATTTTACTGTCCCCACGATCAGGGTATCACATAGATTTTGTACAGTATAACCTTCACTCTGGCCCTGAATGGCCCACAACAAATTTTAAGGAGCAAGAGGTGGAAGAAGAAGACTGCCAAAGGAAAATCAGCATGTGAAATCAGAGAATGTGACCCATAAAAATCTACTGTCCCCAAATCAGGATAATTAAATCAAAGAATCAGCCAACTGAGTTCAAGTTAGGGCTGGTTTAGATGTTGCGGCTGGGCATATTAGGCAAATCCAGCCTATTCGGTTGAGTTTATGGTCGAATGGATTGCACAAAACCAGAAAGTGGGTTAATTCTGTAGGCAGCTTCAGTGTGTTGTTGAAACGCCAGAACAATTTGTCGGCCACGGCTGAGCCACAGTTGCGCATCCTCCTTGTCTCAGCTGGAGCCCATTTCACTCAAGCCTCACGTGCAAACATCAAAGAGTGTGAACACGATATGTGTGCAAAAACAGAGGCCAGGCGGCCTTGTGACCTTGCGCATTCCTCAAAAGTGCACAGGGGACAAATTAAGCACAGCCGGCTGCTCCTACCTCCACGTGCCCGAATGTCTGCACTAAGGGGATTATTTCCAGTTTATTGAGGCCTGCCAGCTCCTGGATCTTCGCAATGTCTTCTTCGCTGTCAAGAGAGAAAAGCAGCAGTCAGCACTGAGCCAGCAGGGGCGAGAGGGGAGGGAGGGGGCCTGCTAGACCACCCAAAGGGATTGCTTTGCCCATCTCAATGAGAAACTCTGGCCCCTGGCAGCCCAGACCTCCAAGGTCCCTTCCAGCTCTGTTGTATTCTGTTCTGTTGTTCTGTTCTGTTCTGTTCTGTTCTGGTCTAGTCTAGTCTAGTGCAGTCCAGTATTTCTATTCTGCTCTGTTCTGTTCTGTTCTGTTCTGTTCTAGTCTAGTCTAATCCAGTATTTCTATTCTATTCTATTCTATTCTTTATTTCCTGTTATTCTATTCTATTCTATTCTATTCTATTCTATTCTATTCTATTCTATTCTATATTCTGTTATATTCTATTCTATTCTATTCTATTCTATATTCTGTTCTGTTCTATTCTATTCTATTCTATTCTATTCTATTCTATTCTAATTTTATTCTATTCCATTCCATTCCATTCTATATTCTATTCTATTCTATTCTATTCTATTCTATTCCATTCCATTCCATTCTCTTGAGGGAGGGGGGCACATCAGAGACTCAGTCTCCTGCTCCTGCACAAATCCATGACAGCTCAGGATAATCAAAGCTGGCCCTGAAGGAAGGAAATGGGGTGAAGGGAGGACAGGAGGGGGGGCACCATTTCCATTGACAAAAGGGATACAGCGAGAGAGCCACCTGCTAGCCATGGGCAGGCCAGGTTGCAAAGGGGGACTGCAGAGGTCAGTTTTTTAAAGAGAGGGGAGGGGAGACCTGACCCCCTGCACAGTTTCCGTCCATTTTGCTCGTTAAAATGCTTCTCAAATTCACTAAGTACACACATGCACATCCCGTCTCAAAATGCAGGCAGCCCTGAAAGGGTGATGGTTGGATGCATGCAGCACCTCCCACCCCTTGTAGTAAAGAAACAAATAGATCTCTCTCACACACACACACACACACTTGACGCAACCAAAGGAATGAACTTTTGGCTTTCCGGTTACTCATTAACCCAAATCGGTGGTTGCACAGCCCATTGTGAAATGTGATGCCCCCACACAGCTGAGAACATGGCAGATGAGCTCTGGGTCGTTCCGCCCCCCCGCCCCCCCGCCATTTTGGCTACTCTGGGCACACTGCATGAACCATTTCTGAGCTTGAGGGTCTTCCCTTCCCTGGCGGGCCAGATCCACACCTGGCCTAGCTCCTCCATCCCCCCCCCCCAGCCCTTGCCAAAGCCCTCCAGTCTGCTTTACCTGTAAGCATAAGGGGACCTGAGGATCTCCAGTTCTCCCTTGAAGGGAAACATGTCTTCGTACTCGATCAGGACCCCGTTGGCCCCCATCTTGGAGAAGAGCGGGAAGATCTGTGCAGAAGGAGCCACACAAGGGCAGTGAGAGCAGCTCAGCAGGGAGAAGGCAAAGCAGAATCCAGCAGGGAGGGAAGACGGAAGGCCGTCTCCTTTCAACCCTTTCCCCCATCCAGCAGCCCAGGGCAGGGATGGAGAACCTTTTAGAGACCGAGTGCCCAAACTGCAACCCAAAACCCACTTATTTATCGCTGGGTGTCAGGTGGGCGTGGCCCACTGGGTGGGCATGGCTGTGGTGGTCATGGCAGATTGGGTGGGTGTGGCCAAGGTGGATGTGATCACCTCAATGTTGCTCGTGGGGAGGGACGCCTGTGGGGGCCGGGCAAGGTTGGGGGAAATCTCTGGCAGGTGGGGTGGTGGGCAGGAGGCTCGTCCTGCAGGGTGAGGCAAGGCAAGGCAAGGCAGGGTGGGGGAGCCATTGTTGCAGGGCAAGGCGAGGAAGGGGCCTGGGCGGCGGCTGCCTGACACCATCGGCCCCTGCACACAGAGGCCAGCAAGCGCATGGGTGCTGGGATGCATCCAGCCACGTGGACCTCGGCGGCTGGTTGAAGAGGACGGTCGCCATCTCCGGGGCATGGCGCACGTGCCCACAGAGAGGGCTCTGTGTGCCGCCTCTAGCACGCGTGCCATAGGTTCGCCACCACTGGCCCAGGGCATGTTCCACAAGGGGTCCCGGCCACTTGCAGGAGACCTTTGGCCCAACTGGCAACTTCTCAGCCTCCCCTCTTGCCAGCAAGAGACCCCAGAAGCAGTTTTCACGCCATTCAACCGATGCAGCTTCTGTGGCTGGACACTTCCATTCCACCCACCCAGCAGCTCGATTGCCAAAAGGGAGAATTTATTCCTGGATGCAAAACCTATTTAGGTAACTGATAAATGTATACTGAAACTTCACATAATGATGCTTCTAGTCCTGGCGACTGCACAGACCATCTTGAGAAGGTCTGCAACCCCAAAGGAATTTAGCCAGGACAGAATTTGGTTGGGAGTTAAGTCTCCCATAATTAATTTCTGTTCTGCAAAACCTGGGTATCAGATAGTCCTCAACTTAACACCTGCTCATTTAGTTCCTGTTCAAAATTACAACGGCACTGAAAAAAGTGGCTTAGGACCATTTTTTACAGTTACAATCGGTGCGGCATCCCCTTATGGTCACGTGATCAAAATTCAGATGCTTGGCAACTGGTTCAAACTTATGGCCGTTGCTGTGTCATGGGGTCACGTGATCCCCTTTTGCGACCTTCTGATAAGCAAAGTCAATGGGAAGCCAGATTCACTTAGCAACCAGGTTACTAACTCATCAACTGTAGTGATTCGCTTAACAACTGTGGCAAGAAAGGTCGTAAAATGGAGCGAAACTCACTTAAGAAATGTTTGACTTAACAACAGAAATTTTGGACTCAATTGTGGCCATAAGTCAAAGACTACCTATATATTGACATTTGGGGGAATTCTGTCATGTTATTACTATTATAGATTATTGTTAAGAGGCAGTTGGTGGTAGTCAAAGCCGCCTGGACCTGAGTTCTAGTCCTGCCTTGGGCATGAAACCAGTTGGAGGATTTGGCCCAATCCGTCTCTCTTTGTCCTACGAGGAAGGGAATGTCAAAAAGGCTGCCAGGGAAACTGTGGAGACTTATCCAGACAGTCATAAGGAATCCACACTGACTGGGGAGGCACAAAAGTGCCACAAAACAACTGTCTGTAGAACAAGTAGCTCTTAGCAAGGGGATGGCAGACCAATGACATGCGTGACAAGCCATGTTTTGGTGACACAACAGTGTTCATCGACACCTGACAGCAACTATTCTCGAAAGCACAACTCCCAAAATAAGTTTGTTTTACCTGTATTTCGTTTTTGTAATCTAAGGGACTAGTTTCGACAAAACTCAGCAGCACTTTTTCGCGCGGCTGCTGATAAAAACAGGATCGCCAACGTCCGATAACAGATATGGCACAAGAAGAATAATTATTATTTGATGTTTCTTTATATAATACATAGCACCACATACGACTGAACTGTATTTTTTTCAACAAATAAATACGGAAAGAATTGTTTATCTTTTGTTGGGGGAGGGACACAGCAGCCCAGTCAAGTTAGGCATTTTCTGAATGTTTGACAAGGCTGAGCCCCAGAGGTTCACCATCACTGTCTTGGCTGCTTGGAAATGAAGGTTAGATACAATCCCGCTTTCTGGGGTCCTGCTCACATTGCAACTCACCTGCTCCAGGTAGGATACTTTGGGAGCTGCCCCTTTGAGGTCCAGATGGACCAACCGCATCTGCGTGGAGCTGAAGTCCCGATGGGGCAGTTTCTTCGGCTCCAGACCAGCCGCTCCAGCTGCTACCTGGCGTTCCAGGTGCCCCGACGATCGGGGCTGAGTGTTGGCTGGCTGTTTCACGTCCTGGGCGTTGCCCCAAAAGTGGCTTTCCCCCCCAACTTCCCTGCGCTGGTCCAGCGTGAAGCTGCAATGAGGAACAGAGAGGAGGCTTAGCTCCAGGAAAAATACCCCAAGAGCCTGGGGCGTTAAGAGCCTGTGGGCAAGAATACAATATAGGCACCAGGAACCTCTTGCCCGGCGCACGATGTGCAAACGGACCTGACTAAATTGGAAAGACTGTGCATACAGGTAGTCCTCGACTTACGTCACCAACTGAGCCCAAGGTTTCCATTGCTAAGCAAGCTAAGCGAGTTTTGCCCCACTTTACAACCTTTCTTGCCGCACTTGTTAAGTGAGCCACTGCAATTGTTAAGTTAGTAACACGGTTGTTAAGTGAATCTGGCTTCCCCGTTGACTTTGCCTGTCAGAAGGTCGCAAAAGGGGATGACGTGACCCTGGAACACTACAACCGTCATAAATGTGAGTCAGTTGCCAAACATCCGGATGTAAATCACATGACCTCAGGGATGCTGCAATACTCGTAAGTGTGAAAAATGGTCATAAGTCACTTTGTCTAATGCCATTGTAACTTTGAATGGTCACTAAACAAGTGGCAGTAAGTCGAGGACTATCTATACCAGGAGTAGGCAACCTTGGCTCTTTTATGACTCATGGACTCCAACTCCCAGAATTCCTGAGCCAGCCATGCTGAGGGGAAAGGGAGAGGTTTCCAAGCTGAGCCAGGCTGGCTCAGGAATTCTGGGAGTTGAAGTCCACGAGTCATAAAAGAGCCAAGGTTGCCTACCCCTGCCCTATACCATTCCGGACAAATGGCTCTCTAATCTTTCCTTGAAAGCCTCCAGTGATGGAGCACCCACAACTTCTGAAGGCAAGCCATTCCACTGGCTAATTGCTCTCACTGTTAGGAAGTTTCCCCTTAGTTCTAGGTTGGAAGGATTCTCCCTTAGGACCTCCCCAACATTATGCTGACCCAGACCCAAAAGAGATTTTTTTTTTCAGATGGCACATTCCCATCAGATTTTGATTAAAACAACCCCAAGAGATAAAAACATAAACTATGAAATCTAAAATCTAAAATATTATAAACACGTGTCTAGATAACAGATATAATTTGTGTTTCATTTTTCACAGCCAGGAAACCAGCAGAGTATCCAAAGAGAGACCATCTCCGGAGAGGTCGCAGGGAGAGTCTGCGCCCGCCAACGCCTGGCACCAACCTGTCTCGGAAGAAGAACTTGATGCCGGCCAGTGCCACCGTCAGGAGGACCGCAAGACGCAGCAGGTTCAGCTTCTGGCTGCGGTGAAACGCCATCCTGCAAAGAGAAGGGGAGCAAAGGGGCAGCCCACTCAAGGTCAGCCAAGGATCCTGGCACAGAAGTCAACCTTCCCCACCAGGCACTCCTTACAGATGTCTTGAACTGCAACTCCCATATGGCTGGGTGGATCACAACCATGGGGCTGGAGGTGGATCTGGCTGGCAAAATCAAGAAAAGGCACCATCTCGAAGAGTGACCTACTGGATCTGATTCCTATTGGAGACCTGAGGATCGTGGAGGAGCTGCCCCAGCACTGTTCTCTCTCTCTCTCTCTCTCTCTCTCTCTCTCTCTCTCTCTCTCTCTCCCTCTCTCTGTCTCTCCTTCTCTCTCCCCCTCTCTCTATCTCCCTCTCTCCTCTCTTTCTTTCTTTCTTTCTTTCTTTCTTTCTTTCTCTTTCTTTTTCTTTCTCTTTCTCTCTCTCTCTCCCTCCCTCTCCCTCTCCCTCTCTCCTTCTCTCTCTCTCCCTCTCTCTCCTCTCTCTCTCCCTCTGTCCCTCTCTCCCTGTCTCCCTCTCTCTCTCCCTGTCTCTCCCTGTCTCTCTCTCTCTCTCTCTCTCTCTCTCTGTGTGTGTGTGTGTGTGTGTCCTTTCTTTCTTTCTTTCTTTCTTTCTCATTCATTCATTCATTCATTCATTCATTCATTCATTTTCTGTCTTAATTATTTTTACAAATAAACCAAGGCAGCAAACATATCCAATACACCTTCCTCCTTTCCCCCCCACAACAATAATCCTGGGAGTTGGGTGGAGAGTGTGACTCACCCAAGGTCATCCAGCCGGCTTCATAGCTAAGACGGGACTAGAACCCACAGTCTCCCAGTTTCTAGCCTGCTGCCTTAACCACTAAACCAAACTGGTTCTCATAACTACAGAAATGCTGCCTTTCCCGGGCTCTGAAATCTTTATTCGGTTGTGATTTTTGTTGGGGGCACCTAAAAGACCAGCAGACACCTACGTACCTGCACATGCATTTAATATCCTGCCTTTATTATTTTTATATACAACTCAAGGAGGCAAACAGATCCAACACACTTTCCTCCTCCTACTTTCCCCACCACAACAACCCTGTGAGGTAGGTTGGGCCCAAATTCACCCAAGCCGGTCTTCATGCCTAAAGCAGGACTAGAACTCACAGTCTCCTGGTTTGAGAGACCAAACCTCTCATTTAGTATTGCACAAGCTTTGGCAGAAAAGATGCTGCAAAATATTATACACTGCTATTTTTAAGGAAATATAAATAATAAGAGCATTTCCCTGAGGTATTTAAGTCGTTGCTGCTACTTTAAACAGGTAGACAGTAATTAAAGTATTTTTCATCAAGTGCTGCTTAGAATTATATCTTCTGGCCCAACCCTTGCCCCTCACAGAGGTGGCTTAAGTCTTTCGTTCTGACTTCAGAGCACAAACTAACCTAATCCACAAGAAAAGGATTCTTAAACTCAAGACACAACCTAGAACCACACTCTACAAAAACACAATTTAGCATGTCAAGAAGGAATCGGACTTTGCTTTTTCCTGCTTCACAAGCTCGGAGCAGTTTCAGCCTCCATTTCCCCCTCCTGACTGCATTTCAACCCCATCCTAGGTCAACACCTAGCTTAGCAATCAAACCATGCAACAAAACATAAATCAGCAACTAAGCCCAAAGCAAACCCAGCCACCAAATCCATAATATCTGGAACAGCAACGAGAGCCGTGGTGGAAAATCAGAGCTCACTGCCTCTTGAGATTTGGACTTTGGGACACCCCCCCCCGAGGGGGCTGAGGACTGGAGGGCGCAGAAACTCCCAGATGCACCTTGCAGAGGGCAAGAGGGGCTCCGACTGATCCATGCCCACCATGTTCTTCCTAGCCAGGTTGCGCCTGAGTGACGCCTGGTGTTGAAACAGCTGCCGGTTGCAGCCCGGGCCCTCCTTCTCTGACGATTTTCTGACTTGGGCAACTCTCCCTGCTTTCTCTCGTGAACTTTACCAGCAGCAGAGATTTCGTTGCCTCTGAATCCAGGCTGTGCCAGAAGTTCCTCTCCGTTTGCTGGATTTATGAACATATCTAGTTAAGCAAAACAGAGATCGCCTTTTTTTTTTTTAGGTATAGTTACATTCTCTCCGTTGTTTATAGTCCACTGTCAAGCTTGGGTGACCTGCCAGTCAGTCAATTTCTATTCCAACCAGTGGATCAATACTCAGCCGATCTCCATTCTCTCCATTCTCCAAGACATTAAATCCTTTCAGATTATAAAAACTTATTTTCCCAAATGGACAAATGCAATGGGATTATATGATTATAGACATATGATGCTATAATGGAAAATAGCAGTAATATTTCTATAATCACATAATCCCATTGCATTTGTCCATTTGGGGGGGGAAAAGAATAAAGGAGGAAACTGTTAGAAAAACATGAGCTTAACCATTCTTCTGGAGAACGCAGCATAACTATCCTTTTCCTCCAGTCCTGAAACTGAAATGACCCCATGTCAGCAGGAACCTCCTCTGTGCAAAGTGAGGCTAAATCCAATTTAAACCCAGTTAACACTCCAAAAACCCAGAAGTGCCAGGTTCAGGATTTCTCAGTGACAGAGCAGGATTTCTCAGGAACAGAGCAGTACCAACCAGCCATGTGCACGAAACAAAACGTAGGTTTGCTTTCAAACCCCCAAATAAAAAACACGTTCCGGAACTTCTGCCAAATAATTTCAGATGGACCATGGTCTGGCAGAAGAAAATTTCAGAATATTTGGATTTGGGCAGGAACAGAATCTTGGGAGGAATCTGAGAGTGATTTTATGGGGTGAGTAGGGCCAGGATGAAGCACTCAAAGCTTCCTTTTTCTCTGCAGTTTTTCTTTCTAGTTTTAGATGTAGTTGTTTTGCTGTTGACTGTGTAGTACAGTATTTCTCAGCCTTAGTAACTTGCAATAGCCAGTTAGACTTCTCTACCGCTTCACAGTGCTTTGCAGTCCTCTCTAAGCGGTTTACAGAGCCAGCATTTTGCCCCCAAGAATCTGGGCCCTCATTTTACCGACCTCGGAAGGATGGAAGGTTGAGTCAACCTTGAGTTGGTCAGGATCGAACTCCTGGTTTGTGGGCAGAATTAGCCTGCAATACTGCATTCTAACCACTGTGCCACCACGGCTCTTAACTATGCTGGCTGGGGAATTCTGGGAGTTGAAGTCCACCCGTCTACATTACCCTGGTGCTTTTGTTTTGCAGAAACAAAACCTGGCTAGCAGTTTCCATCAATTTCCAGACTCTGGTTTTTTGCTTTCTTTTGTTGCCAACCAGCTGAATACAAGAGACAGCACCCCCAGCTTGTTTTTTGCACACGTGGGCTCTCCAGTAGTAATCTGAGAACGACAGAAAAGTTCAACCAGCAGTAGAAGAGGCGGGCTCAGCTGTCAAGCTACCATAAACTTTTAGCTGGATACAGAGGGTGCCCAATGTAACAACAACAACAACAACAACAATAATAAAAAGTTGGAAGGGACCTTGGAGGTCATTTAGTTCAACCCCCCTGCTCAGGCAGGAAACCCTACACCATTTCAGACAAATGGCTGTCCAGTCTCTTTTTAAAAACTTCCAGTGTTGGAGCATTCACCGCTTCTGGAGGCAGGTTGTTCCACTGGTTAATTGTTCTAACTGTCAGGAAGTTTCTCCTTAGTTCTAGGTTGCTTCTCTCCTTGATTAGTCTCCATCCATGTAAGGGCACTTTATTTCTGGGGTCAGCCAAGGGTGTGTCATTTCTTTTATTAAATGTGATGCTGCCGCTCTTTGGTTGTTGTCATGGGGCTGAAAAAATGTAAACCGTACAGGTGCTTTGGGCCAAGACTATCCTTGCTAAGAGGAACAGCGTTTCCTCTTGTTTAACAAAGGGTTCAAGAAAGCTAGTCTTTGGCATGTGTTTCACTAGCCAGGCAAGGTGATCAGGTTTTGCTAACCCTGAATTAGGAAAAAAGAGACATTTCCTGTTTTGCTACAACCTATGCAGAAAGGGGAAAAAATCACAATCAAGGCAGATGACGACAGCTTAAGCAAAGAGGAAACGTTTGGAACAGCACCAAGTAGCTGGGAGGAATTTGCATAGAATCACAGATTTCGAAGGGACCTCAAAGGTCATTGAGTCCACCCCCTTCTTGGTGCATTCTGGACAGACGGCTATGTCTGAAGACTGCCGGCAAGGAAGCGGAACACAGGAGGCAGCCTAGCACTGCACCTGTTGAAACCTGTCTCCGTCAGGAAATCCTTTCCACTCTTTCAATGAAATAGTCCTTTCCCTGCAATTTCAAATTTGGGGTGGCACGCGGCCCAGCAAAGGGCTTGCTTTTTAATGGAACTGGAGTTAAACCGGTGAAGGGCATTTGTACCTTGTCGATTTAGTCACGTTCCTTCTTTATTGCTTTGGCGGAGACAGTAAAGCCCTGAAGATACCTCGAAGATCTTCGGCCCTGGGTCCCATAAGTGTGGCCGAGGTCTCAGAAGGGAGGGGCAGCTACCCCCCCCCCCCGCTTCTCCACTAGCTCTCTGCACAGGAAATCTGTCCAAGGGCAGTTGATGGGAATCTAAAGCAGTGGTTCTCAACCTGTGGGTCGGGACCCCATTTGGGGTCGATCGACCATTTCATGGGGGTCGCCAAGCAAGGCTGTCCGCCATTTTTTTTGTCCGCCATTTTTCCCCCCTTTTCCGGCGAGTGCCTTACCTCCCTTGGGCTGGGCCAGCTGGTGGTCGGCCTGCTCCGTCTCTGCCGCTTGCCAGCTACGCCTCGGCCGGCGCAGGGGGCAGAACTACGCATGCGCGGCGCTCCCGGGCAGGGAAAGTCCTCGACTTACGACCGGTTGGGTAGTCCTTGACTTACGACCGATTTAGTCCTCGACTTACGACCGGTTTAGTCCTCGACTTACGACCGGTTTAGTCCTCGACTTACGACCGGTTGGGGTCGCGGCATTAAAAAGGTTGAGAACCACTGATCTAAAGAGTGCTGAGCAGCTGGAGTAGCAGGTAGATGGACTCAAAGAATCAGACGACTAGGAGGGGGGGGGGAACTTGGAGGTCATCTATTCTAGTTCAACCCTCTTGCTCAAGGCAGCAGTACTTATACCATCCCGGACAAGTGACTCTCAATCTTTTCTTGAAAAAAATTCCAGTGATGGAGCAACCAAAACTCTGGGAGACAAACTGTTCCACTGATTAATCATTCTTACTGCCAGAAAATTCCTCCTCATTTCCAGGTTGCATCTTCCTCTGAGGAGCTTCCACCCCTTGTCCTGCCCTCAGATGCTATGGAGAACAAATGGATCTTCTCTTCCCTGTGACAGCCCTTCAAGTATTGGAGGATGCTCATCCGCTGGTTAAAAGGAGGCTCTGAAGTGCCTCAGGGAGCTGGGTTGGTGCCCAGGAAAGGCCCCCCTGCAGTGCTGAGTAGAACCAGGTCTCTGCACCCTTTCGGGTCCTGGCTCCGGGTCTCTGGACCCCCTCCTCAAGCTGAGCGCCCAGGAGATGAACCAGTCCAGAAAGGACCCATTCAGGGCCACTTCACCCGTGCATTGCAGGGCCCATAACTCACTCCTGTGCCTCTGAGCTTTGCCCGTTTGGCCCCTTGCAGTGAGGGGGGAGAAGAGAGGGGTCCTCAGAAGCTGAGCACATGAAGGTGCTCAAAACCAGGGGAGTCACTGAGCAGCCCAGACAGGGTCCACATGTACCCAAAGCTGAACATTCACATGACGCCAAGCCAGTTGATGATGTCTGACTGATATACACCACTTACTTGCACACCACAGTGGCTGGGTGGGCACAACGTACTAAACCGAGGATAAACAAGCTACATATATGGCCTTGTACCACCAACAGGCAGCCCTTGACTTGCAGCCATTCATTTAGTGACCGTTCAAAGTTACAACAGCACTGAATAAAATTTATGACCAGCCCTCCCAGTGATGAAGGTTACACCTTCCCCGCGGTCACAGGATCGTGGCAACTGGCATATATTTTGGGTGGCTGCAGCATCCTGAGGTGACACGCCTGCCATCTGCGAGCTTTGCATCCAGTTTCCAACAAGCAAAATCTAACGGGGGAAGCTGGGTTCACTCAGTGACCATGTGATTCACATGGCGGTATATAAATTCAATAAATAAATAAATAAACAAGGGAGGGGGGGAGCCGAGGCTCCTGAGCCAGGCGCAATCGCGCCCTTTGCGCATCTGAAGACGTTGGAACCGCTCAGCAAAACCCAGCCCCTCCGGCCGGCGAAGGAAGTAGCCTCGGGTGGATCCGCAGGGGCGGCTCTTTCGGCGCACGCGGCCCCAACGGCCCCCCCACCCCAAGCAGCCGACCCCGACCCGGCCAGGCCAGGCCGGGGGAGCAGGCTCCGACGGCCCCCGGCGCTCCCCAGGTCGCGCACGGAGGGCGGCTCCAGACGCCCCAGCGAGCCGGGAGGGGGCTGCGTTTGGGGAGGGGGCCGCCCCACGGGACTCTCAAGCCCCCGCGGGCGCCCCCCCCGAAAGGATCCGCCCTTCTGGCGCCCACCGCCCCGCCTGCTCACCTGCGGCCGGCCGTGGGGCTGCAACGGGGGCGCCGCGCGGAGAACAGCCCAGCCGGCCAGCGCTGGCCGGGAGCGCCAGCAGGGAGCCCGGGGGCGCCTAGCGCAACGCAGAGCGGCAGGTCCAGAAAGAGGCCCCGCGGCAGCAGCGGCGGCGGGAGAAGAGGAGGCGGCGGCGGCCGCGAGGCGCCGGTTCCCCTCCGGGGATTCCTCGACTCCGCCGCCCCCGCGCTCAGCTCCAGGCCGTTAGAAGGCTGGCACCTGCCGCCCCTCCCCGGGCGTCTCCGCGCAGCTGCCGCCCCCGGCGCTTCTCCCCCTCCTCGCCTGCTCTGGCGGGCGCGGGGGCGCCACCGATCAGCCAGCCAGCCAGCCCCCCCCCTCGAGAGGGCCCGCGCCGCCAACCGGCGCCCCGCGAACCCTGCGCCGCTGCCGCAGCCCTACCTGAGCCGCTGCAGGTGCAGCCCGCAGATGCGGCGGAGGCGGCTGCGCTCCGGGCTCGGTCGGCGCTGCGGCGGGAGCCGGCTCGAGGGCGGAGCAGCCCGGCAGAAGCAGCCGCCGCCCCGCCCTGGAAGGCGGCAGGAGGAGCGCGAGCCCGGCGGAGTCCGCGCCCCCGGCTGGACTGGCCCGGCGGCGGCGCGGGCTTGTTCGGTGGAGCCTCCCCGCTCAGCGGCAGCCTACCTCCGTGCGCATCCGCCGAGCTCGGCCTCCTCCAAGCTGGGATCCGACCTGGCGGCAAAGGGGGTGGGCTGCGTCCTGCCTTGCTCCAGGTTGGGCCGGAGCCCCCCGGCTCCCCAGCTGAGCCCCATCGAGTCCAGCCGGGGGGGGAGCGCAGGGGCGGGCGGGCGGTCCCCAAGGCTGACCCGGCGCGGGGGACTCCAGGAGGGTTGGGGGGCTGGCTCGCCGGCCTGCCGACCCCCGCCCGGGCTGCGAGGCTTCTGCAGATGAAGCTCCGCCAGCCCCGCAGAATCGATGCGGGGCGTCCAGCAGACCCCCACCCGTCCCGGCTGGCCGATTGCCTCGACTTGGTCGGTGATGTGCGGGAGGTGGGCGCGGGGGCCCCGGGACCCTCTCCCGATTTGGCCGGCCTCCTCCACCCAGTCCGGTTCCTCCGCGGGTGCGGGGATATTTTATATTAGATGCATACGGTATTATAAAAAATATAGATGCCTAAAAGCGCTTTAAGCAAGATAGGAAATTGAATTCAAACGAATTCAAAGGAACTGCCTTGAATCGCACATTTTCTCTTTCCCTTCCATTGGTCCCAATTGCTACTCAGATTATTTGCTTTTTTCTTTGAAGATGAAAAGTTATTTCTTGTATCCATTAAATTCAGGGGTCCTCAACCTTGGCAACTTTAAGACTTGTGGACTTCAACTCCCAGAATTCTGGGAGCTGAAGTCCACAAATCTTAAAGTTGCCAAGGTTGAGGACCCCTGCATTAAATGGATACAATTCCTGGCTGGGGAATTCTGGGAATTGAAGTCCACAAGTCTTAAAAGTTGCCAAGGTTGCGGACCCCTACATTAAATCATTGTCTCTTTTCTTCCTTGTGTCTCTTGTGCCGTTTTCTTAGAAGCTCCTTTCCAAGTGTTTAAACCTGTCATTGCAGGAGTCATTCCGGCTTATCTTGGTTAAACTTGTGTTACCTATATACGCAGTTTGCCATTGCTGCATTTTTTTTTCTGATTTTGCTCTCTCGGTCTAGTATTGTGGGCAAGGATTTACTTTTCCAATATTGAGAAAAAATTGTTCATGTATTTTGGTAAGCTGATCGTTTTCATCCATCCTCTCTGGAATTATTCCAAATAAAAATACTTCTGATTTAAGTTCAAATTTAAAAATATGTTTGTTTATTTTTCTACATTACTTTTGAGGGTTTTTTTTTTACATGACCACCACGTATGATGGTAAAAATATGATCGCATATGATAAGAAAATAAGAAGGAGCATTACATATCTTTGCTGCCTTGAGTTACTTCTAAAGTAATAAACGTGGGATAAAAATGCAGTTAATAAATTAATATATTTTTATTAAGGCATTTCCATAAGGCATCTTGTGGCAATTTGGCCTCAAATCATAACTTGGAGTGAGTTTAATTGATTTTTTTCCATAGCTGTTATCATTGTTTCTTTGTAATTAGTTTGTTGAAATTTTGCGTCCATTTTATCATACAATTTTTATTTACAATTTTGAATATGTTGTCTCCTTGTTATATTCCAATAGCTTATAAACATATCCAAATACATTTTCTTGATTCCATATAAGTGTTTTGAATTGTGTCATTTTTTTCATAGGATCTTTCTTGAAATCACTTTGATTCTTCCAGCAAGTAGATATTTTAAGCATGATTGATTCCTACTTTCACTACAACAATTCTTGCTCTATTTTTACTCTATTGTAAACTTGCAATTGTTATCTTGGAATTAAAAAGGCATTTGATGATGATGCTCTTAGTAAAATCACTGGATCTACTACCTTCATTCTCAAGAGATTCCAAATTTTAACAAACTCTTCCTCACAATATGTCCCTTCAAATTATTGTTCTTTTGTTTCTTTGTGCCAGAAAAACCTGTGAAGTTTGGCTAAGTCAGCTCCTTCTGTACCTGATGTAAGATCCAATTTGGAAATGAGGAATTTCCTGATATGATTAATCAATGGAACAACTTCCTGATATGATTAATCAATGGAACAACTTGCCTCCCAGAGTTGGTACACCATCACTGGAGGTTTTCAATAGACTGGACCACCATTTCTCCAGGACGGAATAAGGTTTCCTGCCTTAAACAGGAACAAGAAGACTTCCAAAATCCTTCCAGCCCTATGACTCTGTGATTAAAATATTAACGCCTTCACCTTTCTGCCCCTAACTGACAAAGCTGGTAATTAAGTATGCAAACTTCCTAGCTAATTTATCTGCGACAGAAAGGGGAAGTTAGATAGCAGAGAAACAACTGCTGGCCTCATACTGAGTCCCTTGATAAGGCTACCGATAAGGCTATCCTTTAGGACAAGGCTATGAGGCCCAAGAATGAGACGCCCAAAGGGAAAACATTCTAAGAACGCAACTGAGGTTTTTCAACTACGAAAACATTCTAAGAACGCAACTGAGGTTTTTCAACTACACGGGGTTTCTCTGGCTAAACCTAGCTATACCAGTCCTACATGAGGGCTCTTAGGATGCATGGGCACTGGATCTGTTTCTTTGCAGCATCCTCAGGAAACAGCTGGGGATTGGCTGGATGAGGGATAATCCAAGAAACTAAATCCAGACAAGACAGAGATACCCTGTAGGTGATTTGGACAGGAATTGCATTCACACAATATTTAAAAGCATATGATTTTGTTTGTTTGAGGGTACATGACTTGACTTTCTCTGGGGTCAGAATAGAGGCTGCAGGATTACCTGTGCATGCAAAGAGGGTCATTTTATGCTCTTCCTCCTTGCTGTTCAAAGCTGGTTTATAGATCCCTGGCTCTGTGTGAAGCTGGATGAAAGCACTGAGTGGCTCCAGTCTAGGAAATAGGGAGGAGGACAAACACCTTGGAGGTCTGTAACAAGATTCCAGAGAATCCAGGAAGTTGGAATAATGGACAGTAGCTGCAAAATGGAGTTTGACCAGGACAAACCTGCAGCCCTCTATTCGTATAGGAAAAATACTGTCCAACATTGCATGGCAATGAGATGGGCAGGATATAAATTTAATAAAAAATATCAAAGGCATGAGGTGACTGCACTGGTTAGATTGCTTGTAGAAAGGATCTGGATGTCGTGCTAAATCCCAAGGTGCACAGAAACCAAAAGAGTGATTCAGCTGCAAATAAACAACATGTGATCCTTGAGTTTAGTGTTGTTCCTTGCTATTCTGCACTAGTCAGACTTAGAACATAGAATAACTTCTCAGGTGCTCAAATGGAGGCTGGATGGTCAATTGTGGCAGTACATTACAAGAAGGGGCTGTTCTAGATGATCTCCAAGGTCTTTCCCACCCCTTTGATACCCTGAATGTTACTGACAAACTGCTGCATGAGTTGATTACAAGATGTGAACATTCTCTGATTACTTTCAGGGGACTGAGAATCTTTACTGATCAAGATGTTTCATCCCCAGCAAACAAATTTAATACAAGGGTGAGTGAGTTACACTTAAGGGGGTAAGAGGTCATCTTGGTCACAACATCCCAAGGATCGAGACTGCATGGCTGGGACGATCAAGGGGCAAAACACACACTGAATTCCAACACAAGGCAAATGTGATAGCAGCCCTTAAACCACTACCCACTTCTGAGTTCTGCCACTCAGGAAGGGCAGTGACCAACTACAGACGTCCAGAGGAGTCCTAGGAGGAAGGAAGGAGAACAATTAGAGGCTTTAGATGTGTTTGGCTTGGAGGAGGAACAATTGGGGGAAGCCAGAAGAGCTATTTCCCAGCATCTGTGGAAGCCAGGTCAGAACCCTTCAGAGGTTTCCCAAAGACGTGAAAGAAACGCCCAAAGGAAGCCAAATTGGGTTGGACATCAGGAAACGTGCCCTAGTGNATGGGGGCGTCGCGATAGGAGTGTATATAATGTTGTGAGTTTGAATATTTTGGTGTGGTCTCTGGGATTAGAACTTCCTGTTGAAGTCTCTCACCAGGATCCACCGCACTTTGCAAACTGCTTTTCTATTTTCTGCAGAATAAACTCTTTTTCTTACCAATCCAATTTTGTTGGTATTTTAATCACGTTTCCAACAGTAGTAGTAGTAGTAGTAGTAGTAGTAGTAGTAGTAGTAGTAAAGTTGGAAGGGACCTTGAAGGTCATCTAGTCCAACCCCCTTCTCAGGCAGGAAACCCTATACCATTTCGGACAAATGGCTGTCCAGTCTCTTCTTAAAAACTTTCAGTGTTGGAGCACCCACAGCTTCTGGAGGCAGGTGGTTCCACTGGTTAATTGTTCTCACTGTCAGGAAGTTTCTCCTTAGTTCTAGGTTGCTTCTCTCCTTGATTAGTTTCCACCCGTTGCTTCTTGTCCTGCCTTCAGGCGCCTTGGAAAATAGCTTGACTCCCTCTTCTTTATGGCAACCCCTGAGATATTGGATCAGTGTTTCTCAACTTTGCCCATGTGAAGATGCCTGGACTTCAACTCCCAGGATTCCTCACCCAGCAGGCTGGACGTTGAAGCCCGCCCATCGCCGAGAAACCCTGGACCAGACCATCTGCGAGGCCCCGCCCACTCGAGGGAGAAGGCCAATCGCGGGCGAAAGCCTCGACTCTTACCTGGTGCCGCCTCGCCAGAGGGCGCTCTTCTGCGGGGAATGTAAGGCGGTAGAGCTACGAACAGTGCAGAGAAGGCCGCGCGCCGCCCTGTCAGCTGCCCAAGAGCTTTCAGTGAAAACTGACGAGGTTGCGTGAAGCCGGGACGGGGGCGTCGCGGAATGCTGGCTGGGTTCTCACGAGGTGCTGAACCGGAGTCAGAGAAGCGTCCCCTGCTGTGGCTCCATTGGAGGGCTGCCTCGCGTAGCCCCTCGACTGGTTCTCCACTCTGCGCTGAACCGAGTCGGTCCTAGGGATCCAAACACGCCCTTCAGAGGGGGCTTCCAGAAGGCCGCTGTTGAAACGGGAATCAGGCCTGCAACCCCATCCTCTGTGGCGCCTCTCGCCCCACGGCAAGCCCGGACGGAAGCCAAAAAGAAAGAAAGGAACCCGGAATTCGCCGTCTTCGGATGAGGCTAAGTCGGAGTCTATGGCCAGAAACGCCCGTCTCGGCTCGGCTCGACTCTGGCACGGAAAGGCGCGCATGCGTAGAGACGCCGCAATCGCAGGGTTCCGATACTAGCGGCTGGGCGACCTCGGCTCGCGCATGCGCAGGATTGGTACCCGGGCGCTCTAGGTAAGCTGACCTAAGGGGGGCGGGGGCGGGGGCGGGGGATTGGGGGTGCTCTGCCTGCGGGGGGGGAGCAGCGCTCGTGCTGCGAGCGGCGGAGCCCCTTCGGCCTTCCTCCCCCCCCCGCCGCTCTCCCCCCACAACCTCCCTGCCAGGTGGGCCGCGCTGCAGGAGCCTGGCCGGGGGCGCCTCCGGGGGGGGCTCCCCGCGCCAGCGCCCACCACCCTGCGCCTCCCCTCCCCCCCCAGGCCGGCACCATGAACC